CTCTCCAGGGAGCTTGGGTGGAGCGAGGCCTGGCCTGCGAGAGGTGAAAAAAAAAAAGAAAATCTATGGCTGCTGATGTAGCTCGATGCTGGGAACTGTCAGGGCGTGAGCGTTTGGAGTCCGAAGTGGAAACTAAGTGGTTTTGGGGTTTTTGGAGAGGGAAATTGGGGAGGAGAGCCCTGGTGAACGGTGTGTACTTATTGAAAGAAACCTGAAGTGGCTGCCTGGGGTTTTGTATTGCCTTTGAAGAAACTGAGGCGTTTGGCTCTGCTGGAGAACGGTGTCTGCATTTTGTGCTCCCGGGTGTGTTTGGGCAGCTGCTGCGCTCCCGGTGCTGGCGTTTGCACTGCAGGGCGGTAACTCTAGAGCTTAGAGCTGCAGGCTGAGCTTTAAGCTTAACGTTAAAGCTCTGTCAGACTTGGGGATGTTTTTTTGTAAGTGTCCGCTTGTGACCGGGAAGCATCTTGTAAACTGATACCCGTAAGTCACTGGTTTGATCACGGCATCAAAACAATAGTGAAGTTTGGCACAACTCTGTGCAGGAAGGTAGGTGTTGTTTTGGGTGTGTGAGTGCGTGATGAGATTTGTATACCCTGAAAGACAGTATGATGTTCTGTTCTGCTGAATGTTTTCTGGTTTCTTTGTCTGTCACTCAACAGCACTTCTAAAAAATAATTACTATTTTTTTTTATAGCTTTCAATCAATGCTTTTGACTATAACTGCCACTTGGATCTGATAAAGCTGCTGCGCCAGGAGGGAGAGTTGGTGAAGCTCAGGAGAGCGCGTCAGAAGATGAGCGAACTCTTCCCGCTTACGGAAGGTACAGAGCATCTTCTGCTCGGGTTACAGCCAACGCTGCTTAAGCATCGTCCGTGTAAAATACCATTGTTTCAGTAGTGAAATGACGTGTTTGTGCCAGGCTTCAGCAACATTATTCCAGTCTGAAGAAACATAAAAGAACAGATTTGGGACTTTTAGAACTCTGAATGATGATGGTGTTAATGGCCAGCATTGAGCTTGGCCTCGGGCAGATGCAGGGCAGCGAGCCTGTCGAAGGAATTTGATTTTTTTTTGCCACTTGCAGCTGCCCTGTGCTCTGCCAGCTGCTGCTGCGGTAGCGTGGAACTGGTGGGAGTGTTTGTGTGGGCCCAGCTACTCCAGTCAGTCTGTCTGTTAGCTGGGGTGTTGCTGCCAGGGCGTGATCTGCTGTAGCCCAGGGACAGACGTACGTTTGCTTGTGCTGCCTCTGCTGAAGGGCTGGTAACGTGCAGCTGTGGGATGCAGCACTGGAACGGCTCCAGTCACTTAGTGACTGTGACTCAGAGCCCAGCCAAACTCCTGCCAAAAGTTAAATTTCACAGTCAAGCAGCAAAAAAGTATGGTGTTGCTGGAAGCTGTAGGTAGCCCTTGAAGTGGGTGTTTCTTTTTTTATTTGTAACACAGAGGCAGTGTAAGTATTGCAGAGGCTGCCCTGCTGGAGTGCTTTTAGCCTTGGCAAGGGAAGGTTTCCTTCCACGTGTGTTAGAAACTTGCAGCCTCTGAAGCCACTTTTTCTTGTAAAAGTGTGAGGAAAGGTGTACCTCTGGATGCCTCTTTGGTTACTGGTACGTGCTGATCCTCTGCCAACGGTGCTGACAAATTGCTGCTTGCAGCTTCTGCTCTCTTTAAATAGAAATGCGCTCATTTAGTCCCAGCCTGAAAAGATCTCTACTAAACTTTTTTTTCAAGTTCATTATGAGTAGTTGTGGCAGCTAACATTGCTCTCTTCTCCCCATTTTTAAGTCTGTTGCTAAAAACTCTCATAAAAAAAATCAACAGGTGGATTTAATTTATTCTTTCTGAACATTGGTGATGTATTCTAACCTTGTTCCTTTCAGAAATTTGGCTGGACTGGTTGAAGGATGAGATAAAAATGGCTTCTGAAAGCTCTGAGCGAGAGAAAGTTTATGAGCTGTTTGAGAGAGCTGTGAAGGACTACATCTGTAAGTTGCTAATACGTGCTGTACAGTGCGTTGTGTTGCATTGAGGTTATGGCTTCCTTTTTCTAGGAAAGTTTCTTCTGTAATAATGCAGAAATTGGATCAAAAATATTAGTGTGAAATGATGCTCAGTTTTTCTGAAGCATTGGCGTTAAGGCTGTTCAGAGGCAGTGCTTTAAGATCTCTAAGCGAATGTTGTAAGAAGTTTTAAATGCATACTTTTCATTGGCCTAATCTCTTAAAGCAGCAGGTATTGTGCTCACGTAGGGAATGCTTTCTCTGTTACCTGTTACGCTTCTTCAGCTCTTGCTTTGAGGAACGTGAGTGCTTTTGATAGGCTTGTTTCTCCTCCTGTCTTCAGTGTTGGTTAGCACTGTCTTTACTGCCGCTTCCGCTCTGTGACAGCTCTGTTAGAACAGCTCGTTATCACTGTCTGGGAGATGGCACTCTTGAAACCCTGCAAAGGAGGTAACCCTAGCCTTGCTGCCGTGCCAGGCTCTGATCGTCCTCATTAAAAGCAAGGGAAGTACCTGGTGTCTTGGCTTTCCGTTTGCCAGGAGCTGCCTCCAGCCATAGCTTAAAACTTTTAGCCTAAAAACCGCGTCCTCTTTGGGTATTGTGGTGAGGTGTTGAAAATGTGAAGCCTGAAGAAGCAGAGAGGGCTTGGTAGCATCGAGGCGGATCCCTTGCAGGAGCTATATGCAAAATGTCACGTTACAGAACAGGCGCCGCTGGCCTCGCAGGGTGCTGGTGATGGGGAGGAAGGAATGGAGAGATGAAGAACTTGGCCGTGGGGGGGGGTGGTGGTTATCACAGAATCACAGAATAGTAGGGGTTGGAAGGGAACTCTGTGGGTCATCTAGTCCAACCCTCCTGCCGAAGCAGGGTCACCCAGAGCAGGCTGCACAGGACCTTGTCCAGGCGGGGCTGGAATATCTCCAGAGAAGGAGACTCCACAGCCTCCCTGGGCAGCCTGGGCCAGGGCTCCGTCACCCTCAGAGGGAAGAAGTTCTTCCTCATGTTCAGACGGAACTTCCTGTGCCTCAGTTTGTGCCCACTGCCCTTTGTCCTGTCACTGGGCACCACTGAAAAGAGCATCCTCTGGATCTGCTGGATGGATTGCACTTGGGCTTTGGAAGGCCTTCTTCTGGAGCCCGAGTTATGCAGTCTAACACCCAGTGGTTGGATAGTCTCTGCTGGGGGTCCCTCAACCTAGTGTGCTCAGACACTGTTGTTGGTGGGAGAGGTGCCAGGCAGCCAACACTGTTCTGGCAAATCCTCTTCCTTCATAGTTACGCTGCTTAAGCAGTTGCTGAGCAGGCAGGTGTAGGGGTCTGGAAAGAGAAGAAGGACCTGCTTTAATCTGAGTTCTGCAGGAGTGAGACAGCTTTGTGGTCCCAGCTCTGTACA